GAAAAAACGATAAATACGGGGCACGGGATTTTATTGGACCCGATTGCGCGCGAGCGGGAAAGAATGAGCGGGTAGTTAACAAGAAGAGGAGCATTGCTCAAGAAAAATGGCGGCGTATGAATACCCTGATTAGGCGGGATGGGAACAAACGAGTTACAAGATTAAAGTTCGTGTGGATGGTGCCATGGAATCGTTAGCTGGGTCTGCTGCCAAGTACGCGATGACGCTGTCAAATCGCTGCTATTTCACAGGTGGTAAAAGGACGCTTGTCGGGCGGGGGCTGCGAGAGGGAGAGGGCGGAGAGGAAGGAAAGGGAGAGAGAAAGTGGTAGTAAAATATCTGGGGAGTGTATTCGAGCAATATCATCGCCCATGTTAATTGATTTGGCTTTATTCATCATGCCACGCAGAATCTATGCGCGAGAATATTCCTTCATTAGTTGGTTACACCGCGTCTACCTGGTTTTCTTACTGTCTACCGTGAGACCCTCTTACCTGTCAACGGTGTCATTCTCTGTATACTATATTAATTAATGGGGAATTCTCGCTATATCCAGCATTCGGGAATCCATTATAGTTATCATCTCGTGTTTACCTATTGTTATATATACTTTGTCACTCTCAGCCTTCGCCTGGCAGGATTCTTTTACCCTCAAGATTGGTTGTGGCCAAAATGATATTTAAATTGCCGGCATTTGTTTTACTAGTTTAGGATTAAGAACTTACAGATTTGCATCTAATTTCTTTTATTTTTTTATTTTAAAATGGGCCGAGCCTAAATATTATTATGATTATCGCTGCACCAAGCTTACGTAGGTTATCATCCCTAATTCACTCATGTAATTAATAATATTAATTGATTGTCTGTCATCATTTATAGCACGGTCGAGACAGCATATTATAATCCGAAATATGCTCATCATGTTTTGGGCTAACTTTTATCGTTCTTCTGTCATTTAACAAGTTTAACTACCTTGATCAGCTGTAGGACTGTGTAGACTGTATATATCTATACCGTTCCGAGGGGCAACAATGGTCCATTTCCAGTTCACCTTGGGTAAAAATGTGCTATTCCCCAGTAGAAATTTCGACTCCCGCGTCGCGGGTGACCGCATGCTGTTCCAGAATCACAAAAGATACCTGGCACTTCCCGGTTCATACAATAATTAAAAAGGGTCGAATCTACGTCCCAAATATAACCATTCCTTCCCTTTATTTCCGCTTGTTTAGTAGTTTAATAGCCATGGCGATTTTGCGAATTTATCAGCCCTTCAATCAAGCAAATTGCGGCAGTTGTTTGCACGTCATTACGTACAGCACCTCACGGGCAGCATATATATACCAATTCAATCCGATAGATCTTCACTATACATTGGCTAACTCCTGTCATTTAACAAGTATTCTTGATCACCCTAAAGACTATAAAACCCGCATGTGTGTACTATATATATTGGCTACTATTTTGTAACCTTTCATTTTAAAAACCTAATAAAGATTAGTCTATATGCGTACAAGCCGCTTTTCGCAACAGAATATGCAGTTGCATCGTCACCAATGCGGAAGAGAAATGTTAATTAGGAATAATCGCGCCATTTTGTGAAATAACTTTGAAGTGTGCACCTGTAGGTAGTTTGTTCGCGCCTTAGTTTAGTTTGTTTGCGTTTAAACGTTAATTTCTGTACGATCGCTAGTTTAACGCACACAATCACCATGAAACTGGAATCACCCCGGATATTCTACGTAATTATAACTTAAAATTACGTTTTCAAACGCTAGGGACGAATTCCAAATTTAAAAGTTGCAATATCTTGACTCTTACCCATGTACCAGAGGATTGTTAATATTCTATTTACTACTGTAAGAGAATGAGACATGGTTAATTCCTATATTCCTATAGCATTCTATTACCCCGTACAGACTACAAATTTGATCCCACATCAAATTAGTCCGTGGGAGATGTACTTGCGGTGTCTGCTGTAATATCTCTACATGCGATAGAGCAACTCACAAGTAAACACCATACAGAAACACTAACGATAACTTGACAGTTTTAGTTATTTGTACAAATATCGAGTAGCGTGGTCTAACGGCACGGTAAACGGCGTCCTATCCATGGTCGTAGGCTGAGCAAATTCCTAGAGGATGGGGGGAGGGGACAAAGTTTTAAAGAAATAAATCACATGTAGGATAGAATTAGGATAAAGGGATATGTGTGTTTACTGTAATTTGCAATTGTTTTTGTGAATTGTTACTTGGTTACATTATGTATTACAGTTTTGGTGCTACTTATATTATTACCTATGCGTATATTTCTATTTTGCTCCAAAATCTAGGGGCAGCCGTCCCCTTGTCCACCTAAAGGCTACGGCCCTGTTGGTCCGAGATGCTGCGGCCGAAGTTAAATTCTGAGATCGTATTTTACCATGCACATTCCTTCGTTAATGCATCTGTCTTTTTTAAACGCATGAGATGGGCTGAAAAGCATTGTCTTGGGTGGCTGAGGCGACGAGCGACCCGCGCGGCATTGCGCATGTACTTTAGCGGCAGGGAATGGCGGGATGCTGCAGCTAAGGTGAAATTCTAAGATCGGATTTCACCATGCACATCTCCTTCGGCCATGTCCTTGACTTTTTTGAGCGCGTAGGATCGGCTGAAAAGCATTGTTTTGGATGGTTGAGATCGACCCGTGCGCCATTATGTACTTTGGAATAGCAGGGAATAGGCGGTATGATGCGGCTTGTTATTTGTAATTGTTTTCGTAAATTGTGACTTTGTTCCATTATTTTTACAGGTAAAACATAGTACCTATAACTTAAACGTTTATAGAATGCCAGCAAATATTCGTTTAATGGCCGTGAATTGCCAAATGTGCACTGAAGCTCAAGCGAAATGGATGTTTGGGGTATACATGCGTGTTTTATCGGATTTCCGGAAGCCTGGTTTTTTCGAATCTCCCGGTTCGCTCGCCTGCGAATCCAACCAGTGCAGAAATCTGGGCCGGTGTTCGTTTCTCTGCCACACAGCTAACGTGTGACAGTGCAGAGAAATTATCATTAAAACGTATTTGTGATGCGTACTGCAAAGCTATAGTATATCATAGTCTATACGTTAACATGATACGTGAATTTACCTTAACATACTAGCATTAATTACTTTGACAGTTTACAGTTTAATAGCGGTAGCCGCGGTCAATGACTCGACAAACGGATGTGTCTGTGGCACCTTCTAGTCTAGCTGCTATCTCGTAACATACTACTAATCCCTTCATATGCAACAACATCACTGTCTAAGACTAGCAACACTATTAATAGTTTATAGAGGGGGTGAACTGGAGAGTAGGGCCTACATTCCCACTTTCCCAACAAAAACACCCCATATCCCAGTTCCCAGTAAAATAAAATCCCAATTCCCAGTTCCCGGGAAATTATGTTATGTACACACGTTTCAGGAAATTCAGTAGTTTAGGTTTTCAAACACTACATAAATACTAATATTTACATACTATTATTTATCTGGACAGGGCATAATTAATAAAAAAAAATTAAAATTAAAAAAAATTAAATAAATATTAGCGCAGAAATTGAAATCCCGACGAATTGACACAATTTTCCCAGATCCCAGACAATCTGAGAGGATCTTTCCCACGTTCCGATGGACTTCTGTTCCCGAATCACGGAAAATTTATCTGACATTTCCCAGTTCCCAGGTAATTAAAATGGCCAATCCCGCGTCCCGAAAATACCCGTTCCCCCCTCTTTATAGGTTAATTATAAAATGCCAACAGCTACAGGTGCTACGCAACAGTAGCCTTCCGCCAATTGTTCCAACGTTGCACTACGTTGTCTTTGGATAAGGTCTTTTTCTCATTTTTTTTGTGGTAATATTTGGCACTTGAGTACACTAATTTGCATTGTATTCGTAAGACAGATAGACTGTAGACGCATAGAAAGCATGAAAACTACAATTGGTCTTGTCAAGAATATGTGTCATTCTGTGAAATAAGCTATCCGTGGTGAGCAGTTTGCCGTATTTGCCTTTATATATTATGTATAATTACATTATGTTCAGTAATATTTTCAGATTTCCACGTTACATGAAGGAGCTACTTCGTTGTAGTTCATCGATTTACGATAAAACGGACATTTCACTGCGAGCATGCATTCATTGCAAATCGCTCAAACGTTTCTAGTCATTTACCTATTCTTATAGAGAATATGTCGAAACGGTAATGTTCGCTACAGAGAGTATCAATGCAGCATTATTCAGTCCGCTCGTCACTTACCGTCTGAGCAATCGCGAGGAATTGCGGGTCTATTCAAACAATCTTGCGGTAATATTGCGACGTTTCACGTTTAACAAGATTACTACCGGTAGATGGCAATGCGGCCTCAACCACGATCGAAGAGCAACGTTGACTCACAGCGTTGACTTCGCTGTGACCTATCGCAGATTGCGCTCTGCTCAGTGCATGGCTAGCCATGCAGGTGGCGCCAACATCGGTTCTGGATAAAGCATTGTTGAGCCAAGTGCTAAAGGAGGCACGATCGCTTTTATTTCTATCAAGACTGCTGCGTGCAAAAGGCACGACTTCCTTTTAAAATCATGGGTGACATATCGATTCACGTATAAATTTTGCTAACATAAGTAACGACCGACCCTACACTTTATCTGCGGGTAGATTGTGTGTGCGGTACGATAATGAATATAGTTTATCCATGTGCGTGAAGTCAAATAGACTCTTCATCATAGCCTATAACGAACCACAGCTTAGTTCATTATTACCATTATAAAGTGGCTCTGTGAACTTATCGAGATCTACGATCGAATTCTACGATCTATCTATTTTAATTTATTATTTATTATTCATGGTAATATATACGTTAAAATATATATGTTATAAACTATTAACGAGATAATGAATTATACAATTCCCATGGGAAAGTCAATCTCTTGCGTAGGAGTAGGTCCGACTATTGTTAACTATTGCTTAAGAACGGGGAGTGAAGAAGATATGTTTCATATGTTTATTATTTTAAATTATCCGGAAAATTTGTTATTTAAATTACAGATTGTTTGTCTTAAATAATAAGAATAGCACATTGATAAACCTTCGAGCCATTTAGTAGTTAAGTAAGTTACAACGATTGTCTGTAAATATTCATCATAGATGAAGCGAAAAATTGTGGCCAAAATTGACGCCTACGTTAAATCAAATTTTATGAACCAAATTTACGTAATCTACCTCAATTACGATGAAAATCGAGTGCAATAAAAACTCATGTTTCACACCTGCTGAAATTATTTCGTTGCCAGCAGTAGTATAAATAAACTATTACAGGAGTTAGGCTGTAATATGCAGGTTGTACAAATAATTGCTGTTGGTAGACACGAATCAGCAGATACGTCTATACGATGCTGTGACTAGGGATGCAATCAGCCGTGCAACGACGACATAAATGTTTTATTCGCGGAAACCTGGTTACGCCCCCACTATCTACACGCCCCACACGCGCGCACACGCACACACACATGCATGCACGCGGATACACGAACGCGTGCACGCACGCGGACACACGAACGCGTGCACACACGCAGTCACACATATATACGCACGCATGCACGCACGCGGACACACGAAGACACACACACACACACACACACACACACACACACACACACGGACTCACACTCACACACGCGCACGCACGTGAACAGGCACGCACACACCACTCCCCAATAGCACACGTGGGGCGTATCATCTATAAACGACCCAACAACCAGGCAATGAGCCAACGAAGAGGTTCAACGCAGGAAATCGTGCAACAAAACGATAAGTTGAACTCGCGCCGCCGACTTTTAATATCAATGGCTCTGATTAATTGCTCGCTGCAGGTTCATGGCGTAGGAACAAAGCATTGAGTCACGGGGGGATTAACTCTCGCACGCCCATTCTCCCGCTCGCCGGCCATTTTCGCCGCTCCATCGCCGTCCATTCATCGCCGAGACGCGCTTTCGCGAATTCCTCCGCGCCGAGCAGTGAGCTTCCTTGGCAACGCAGATAATACGGGGGACGGTCGGCGCTTCCCCCCACGCAGCCCGACAACGGAACACCGCGCGCTCGCTCGCTCACTCTCCGCGCACCTGTTTCGCCCCATTCCCGCTGCACTTTGATTCATGAAAACAGACGCCGCGTCCCGATTGGCCGACCGCGCCTAATTGGTTGGCCGGCGAGCGAGCGCTGATTGGTCGAGGCGCGGCATGTGATTTAAATACACCTGACGCGTCGCGGGTAGCGGAATCGCGTGCAGTGGCATGTGTGAAAGCCCTTCGCTCAGCTGGACATTTGAGCACCCGCACTCGGGCCAGCAGCACTTGTTCCGTCGATCTCAGCGCTGGCAGCAGCAGCAGCACCGGCAGTAGCAACAGCACACTGTGAGCAGGAAGTTATTCCACGAACATCGGCCGGTCTCCTTCGCAGACTAAATACATCAAAGGCGTTGACATATACGCTCGCACACACATATATATATATATACATATATATAGAGAGAGAGACTAGGCGTATATTTGCTCAGGATGCCGCGAGCCTTCCTCATCAGTAAGAAGAGGCGCTTACTGGCGCACCTCACCGCCGACAAGGAGGAGAGACCGATGCACGCCCCCGTCATTGGTAAGATACTTCATCCTCGCCATCGTCGTTGCCATCGTCGTTGCCATCGTGGGTATCATCGTCATTATCATTGCCGTCACCATCATCATTAATAACATAAGCATCATCGTCATCATCGGCAGCAGCAGCATCAACAGCATAATTATCAATATCATCATCATCACATCATCATCATCTTTATCATTGTCGTCGTCGTCGTCGTCGTCAGCGTCGTCGTCATCATCATGATCATGATCATCACCCTCACTCACAATCAGGTGACCCCCGAACGATCCTCACGCGTTTATTTTTCTCGCGACCTTGATATCTCCGTCAAGGACGAATTCGACTCGCCGCCGGTTATTTTAACGCGCGCGCATATAGCTTTACACAAGATATCAATAAAGTTATCGCGTCAGTTTAACGCCTAATTACCGACACCAATTACGGGTGGAGCCTTGTTCGTCTAGCACGCGCTCTAGTTGAAGGCATTCTCTGAGGGCGAGCCGCACGCGATCACGGTGCAAGCGAAGTTTTATTGACTCCCGAGAGCGCGCATATACCGCGACTGTTGATATTTAAGATTAGTTACTAAACAGATTTTAGTGGCAAATTAGCGGAGTCGCTGCCGCCGCCCTCAATGGCTAGCCGTAATAAATCGTTAACCTTACCGCTAGCTCCCTTCGCGCGAGGGAGCGGGGAGATTTATTCGCGGCGGGACTGGCCTGCGGCATAGCTGCTGGTCAGGTAGCGACTGCCCTTGGAAACCGCACGCTCCAGTAAGCTCTCGCAAACATTCTTTGCTACCTCGAAACTACTCTAGCAACCACATGAATCACTTTCCTGCTTAGCAATAAGCTTCTGATCGCCTCCCTACCTTCGCCCAAACTCTCGCTCGCTCTCTCTCGCGCGCTCTCTCTCTCTCGCACTCGGTCCGTGATAAAACCTGTAGTACATCGGCTTACACGCTAGCTGTTTAGTCATCTCGACGAGGCAGTAGCTAAGGCGAGATTAAGAAAGCGCAGCGTTTGTGTACACACTTATCGTTTTCCTTACGAGTTTTATTTCGCTCGATTTCTTTCGCTTGCCGTGATTCATCCTCGCGGTTGCTATTATATACCAGTTTCCATATTCATAGCGAAACAGTCGAATATTCGGTAACCTGCGTCGTGTACCAACTTAGTTACTCACACACGTGGTGCAGTCACCCGTTACAGGTTAGTCATATTGCCGGCGTTTGTGCGACAATAACAATAACCGCTGGCTTTATCGACACAAACCCCCCTAACTGTGAGAAAATGCTCTCCGACGATAGCATCAACAGATGTTCAATTCATTACCTCCGGAGGCTGCTACTATTGTGTGAAGCTTAGCTGTTTCCGGTGACCAGACGAAATGTAAAGAAAATTAATAATTAACAGTTTTCTTTTTCTATGTTCTTTTACAGACACGGTGTGCGCGGTGAAGAGGGAACCGGATCGTATCCGTGCGACCGAGATCCCGTCCGACGTGGCGAATCTGCAAATCACGGACGAGGAGGCGAGAGGAAGCCAATTGCCGACGCCGCCTCTCAGCCCCAAGCGAGATGAAGAGGAGCAGGAGGATTACGTCCCCCTTCTCATGCGATCGGTGCGCGGACACGCGCTCGAGTCCGGCGCGTCGGAGTACCTGTACCCGTACCCGTACACGCGCACGACGAAACCGCAAGGCGCCGATACAGGGCTCGTGGTTCGAGCCCCGGTAGCGACGCGGCCACAGGTGTCGCCGCCGACGTGCCTGCCGCACATGATGCACACGCCGCCGCCGGCGGTGACGCCGATGGCGACGGCGCCGATGACGACGCCGCACGACGAGAAGCCGAGCGGCATGTACTGGAACGCGCAGCCGTTCTTCCACGCCTACTATCCGTACGGACTGGGCTTCCCGACGGCCTTCTACCCGCCGCACCACCACGCCCTGCACCGTCTCTCCCCGCCGATGCCGCCGCCCGTAATGTCGCTCTCTCCGCCGCATCTCTCCCCGAAGACTCCCTCGCATCATCGGCTCACGCCGCTGCGACCCGAACCGATCAAGTACTCCGACCATCAGAAGGAGAACGAGCGAGCGCCGACTCCAAACAGCGGCGCCGAGCGACAGCGTCACGTGATCGAGAAGCCCGTCTCGCGGCGGCAGGAGGTTCCGCGCTACCAGTGCGGCGACTGCAGCAAGAGCTACTCGACGTTCAGCGGCCTGTCGAAGCACAAGCAGTTCCACTGCGTCAGCCAGGCGAAGAAGGCCTTCAGCTGCAAGTACTGCGAGAAGGTCTACGTGTCGCTGGGCGCGCTCAAGATGCACATACGCACGCACACGCTGCCCTGCAAGTGCAAGCTGTGCGGCAAGGCGTTCTCGCGGCCGTGGCTGTTGCAGGGACACATACGCACGCACACGGGCGAGAAGCCGTTCGAGTGCAGCCTCTGTCATCGCAGCTTCGCTGACCGGTCGAACCTGCGGGCGCACCTGCAGACGCACTCGGACGTGAAGAAGTACTGCTGTAAGCTGTGTATGAAGACGTTCTCACGCATGTCGCTGCTACTGAAGCACGAAGAGGGCGGCTGCCGAGTGTGTCCCGTGCGGGTAGAGCCCACGAGCGTACACTAATGAATTATTAATTAAGTAATAATTAACGGGCTAATTAGCCACGTGCGCAGACGATATATATATATATACCGATTAAGTATCCGACCAACAGTAGGATATATGTATATATATATATATATCCGTGAACTTGTTATGGGAATCATGGCATAGTAATGGTTCTCATTTCGCTTCTTCCAGCGATAGCGACCGAGAGGATATAAGTGTGTAACCTGAGTATAGAACTTCGTGTATCATACAGGCCTATCACGACTGGATCTCATTCATTTAGAATACTGCTACACGAATATATAATAGCAACGACAATGTCCTGTGTCGGCGGCCTTTTCAGTCATTTTAATAGAACGTAGAGAATATAGTTGATTATGTATTACGCTAGGTGAATCCTATGCTATAGACATCGGGGCACATTGATATGTTAATTATATATATACGCGGTTGAATTTTCACGTTTTATTTTTCTAAGAGAGGAAACGTATAAACGAAGTCTCGCATTATAGTATGCTACGCTAAAACCACCATATCAAAATGTATAGATCTAGTCCATATTTTGTACAGTGAGATTTGTTGATAACGTATTATAAATACTTAAACGTGTTTTTATTTAACTATAAACATCGTTTCGGTGCCATTATGTTATTTGTATGGAGCTATGGGAAGCCGGGCTAAACAGACGCATGCGTAAAACTAATAACGTTTTTCTATCGAAATTTACAAAGTATCAAACGTACGTATGTCGTTTTAATGTATTAATATTTTTTTTACAAAGACGCTCAGTATGATGCTGTTGCCTTTTTGTTTTGTACGATTTTTTTAGAAATACGCGATTGGAATAAACTGAACTCAAAACAGTAAAACTGATTTGCCTTTATTTATCGTACGATATTTTTCAGCCCGGTTTTGTGATGATACTTTCGACTACACACACACACACACACACACACACACACACACACACACCACACACACACACACACATCACACACACACACACACACACATACACACACACATATACGCACATATATATATATATATATATATAATGATACTCGCGGCGCCTCAAGACGGAAATAACCACAGCTCATTGCAGGCAAGCTTCAAGCACCAAAAGCGAAATATTTTCTGCAAAACAAACGGTACGCCTGTTGCAGATCATGTTGTCGGTCTTATAACGCCCCCCCGTGTGAGCACACGTTTCTAGCCCCCGCATACCCGCAGATCGACAAACATAATTCTGATAAGCGATAACGATAAAAACCGTTTTTCCACGAGCCCACCTCTCTCTTTCTCTCTCTCACCTCTCTCTCTCTCTGCTCTCTCTCTTCTCTTTCTCTCGTCTTTCTCTCTCTTTCTCTCTTCTCTATCTGTAATTCGTTCCGCATTATCGCATTTACCGCAACGAAAACAGGGGAATAGTCGCCGTCGGTCGTTGTTGTTTTCACGCATAGGTCTCGGCTAAGACGTCCGTGTTCACGGAGGGGCTTAGCGGTGGGAATTAGCACCTACTCAGCGGTGCTCCCGACAGCTGCATGCACGCGCGTGCTTTGTGGCGGTATATCTTCTTCCTCATCACCTCGTAACTGCAACCTGCTTCCTCTAAGCGCGGTTTTGTTAGGATGTATCACTTTATTCGTGAATACAAGAGCGCTTCGTATGGTGTACATGCGGTATAGGCCATATTGGCGGCCTGACATGCACATAGTCAACGCACACACTTATCTTCTAGCACATCATACGTCGCAGCCACAGCGCACACCGACGCAGCAACATCACATACGCGCGCGCACGGCGCACGACACGACGCACACACACCAACACGCCACACGACGCTCACGCACGACACAAACACACACACAGCAACACACACACAACATGCACGCACACATACACATCTTACGCGCCGCAGCACAGCACAGAAGTAGCCGCCGCGGTTAACGGATCAACTCACGCCGCATAGTAGAGTCACACCGGCTCTTAGGCGGCTCGCAACTAAGTTCGCCGAACCAACGAGCGCGCATAGCGGCAAGATAAGCGACGATGCGTAGATGTAGTACCATGACGAGATACCGCCGCAGATACGCACTCTGCTTACGATGCTATCCTCTCTTTCTCTCTTTCTCTTTATCTCTCGCTTTCTCTCTTTCTCGGGACGCCGGTGTCAGGGTCGCGCGCGATAACGCCGCAAGCCTCCCACCGCCATTGTTCTGACGTCACACACCGCTGCAGCCGCCATTGTTCTGCACGTCACCGTCGGCGAAACGGGCGCCCGTAGGTCACCGCCTGTTGTTACGTTCATGTCCCGGCGACAGCAGTTAATTGCGATGATCTCACTAAATTGCTCACTTGACGCGCGAGTAGAGAAATGTACAAGCAATGCACACATGGCGATCACTTGGGGAGAGTAATAACGGGGCCGGTGTCACACACGCGCACGCACAGCAACACCACACGCACAGCACGCACGACGCACCCCGCAAAAAGTACAGCGCACAGCGCGCACGCCACCACATGCATGCATACAACGCCAGCAACCCTGCCATAACAAATGAGCGGAGAGAATAAAGGAATAGAGATGCCGCAATTTCGGAGGAATTAAAGCCCAGTTCATTGCGGGTCGCCGTGACAACCTGACGACGGTATAATAGCACGGTCGCTACACCTGTAGCACTACACACCGCGCAGGCGCCATTGATCATTTGTGAATATGATCGAGTAAGTGCGAGATAAAAAAAATAGGGCGAACTATATTTCGTTAGCGTATATATCAAGCCCCGCCGTCATCGAATTTCACGAATTCGGCAATTTATCAGGCGTCCGAGTAATTCAACAATCCGGGCCACCGCTGGGACAATGCGCCGCGCGCCGAAATAGAGCGGACAAAAACGAGGTCGAAGCGGTTTTTTTTTTCCACCGCACCTGGTGACCGCGTTTGTTATTCAAAGCCGGCGTACGCACGCACCGCGTAAGGCTGCGAAAATGAGTTGAACGAAGAATCAATGCCCGCCTAAACAATGATTCCCTTTGGCGCACGTGTATGTTTCAAACGCAGGGTGTGGGTCGAGGTGGCAATGCGTGCGCGTCTTGTGCGTGCGTTCGCGTGTACAAAGAGTGCACGCGCTTGCGTGATATGTGTGGCGTGCGTTATGCGGTGTACGCGCTCTTGGCGCTTCGTGTATGTGCGTGTGCGTGTCAGCATTTATGTGTATGTACAACGCAGCGTGATGTGTTATGGTGCTGTGTGCTACGTTGTGTGAGTGCGTGTGTATTGGATACGGGGTCGGTCGCGCAACAGGTGGAAGACAAAAGGCTCTTCTGCCAATCGTTTTTGGTCGCACTTCCTCGAGCGGGTTTATGAAATGGCACTCAGTGTGCTCCGATCGCCCCATTCAAACCTGCAAAGCTGCCTCGCAAGCCAGCCGGACAATGCTCGCCTTCTCAATGGATTTTACCGCCTAGCTCATTCACAAGCAGCATGTGCAAAGCTTTACGTTTTTGATTCGCGCTGGTTCGCTTACACGTGTCGCCAAAGCCAAATTCTCGGCCGCGCGAGAACAAAACGGACGGGCCTTAATTTTCTCCGGTAGGGAAAGCGGCGAAAAATTTGCGTAAGCGTATAGCAGAGGTTTAGAGCATGACCGCCAAAATACCTCGCGGTTCCGATGTCCATCATGTCGGTGTGCTGTCGTGTGTGTGTGTGTGTGTGTTGTGTGATGTGTGTTTAGTGTGTGTCTGTGTGTGTGTGTGTTGTGTGAGTGTGTGTGTGTGTGTTGTAGTGTGTGTGTGTGTGCTGTGTGTGCACGCATGTTGTTGTGTGTGGTGTGTGTGCGTGTGTGCTGGATGTGTGCGTGCGTGCGGCGTGCGTCGCGTGTGTGTTGTGTGTGTGTGTGTGTGTGTGTGTGTGTGGTGTGTGTGCATGTGTGCAGCAGCTGGGCGTGTATGCGTGGTCGGCGGGGTGTACGTGTAGCATCCATGTGTGTGTTGTGTGTGGTGTGGTGTGTGTGTGTGTGTGTGTGTGTGTGGTGTGTACAGCTGTGCAGTCCAGGGTGGTGTGTGTGTGCTGTGTGTGTGCTGTGTGTTGGTGTGTGAGTGTGTGGTTGTGTGCGTGTGTATTGTGTGTGGTGTTTGTGTGTGTGTGTGTGCTAGTGTTGTGTTGTCGTTGCTGTGTGTGTGTGTGGTGAATGTGTGGTGCTTGTGTGTGTGGTGTGTGTGTGTGTGTGTGTTTGTGTGTGTGTGTGTGTGTGTGAGTGTGCGTACGTGTACGTGCGTATGCGTGTGTCTGTGCGCGCGTCCATCGCATTCCTCATGACATAAAGAGTTGCGATGTGTCAATGATGGCGAGTGGGGGTGGGAAGGCTTGCCTACGAGTAATGTAGTGGACTCGAGGCCGACAAGATACACAGCAGGCTTTCAGTGCTCGACACCGATTGTCGGCTGGCGATTGTTCGACGCTCTGGTCTGCTATTTAAAAGTTCGCATGAATATAAGATCGCGAATTTCTGCCGCGCGCAGCATTTTTCTGTGGGAAACATCGCCCGGCCCACGGCGTGTTTCTGTGGGGAATTTGCTGAGCAGACATGGCGAACACACACACACACACGCACGCTCACGCACACACACACACGACACACGCTCGCGCGCGCCGCCACGCACGCACACAACACACACACACACACACCACACCACACACTTCACAAACACATAC